TGAAGAGCGGTAGCACTCATAACCAAGCTTGGATCATCTCTCAAGAAAATAGGATAAAGAACCAGCTTCTATCATGCAGAAGAGAAAACACAAGATTATTGCTAAAGGTAATTTTTTAACAACTTTAAAATATTTTTGATTTTCACCCACTAAATTAATCTAGAGATAAAATAAAAAAAAGTCCATTTTTACATGTAACTGATATTAAACCTGTTATTCAGTTAACCAAATATATGCTGTAATAATTCTAACATGCTGGTTGCAGTGAGTCACTACTCTCTTCATAGGATAGTATTGATATCTACAACTATGATTAACCTCAACCATCCAGGACAAAATTCAGCATTCTCTCCTCAAGCAAAACACTAAGTAAAACCATGGCTGAATTGCAAATAGAATGGAAATCCCTTCCACTTCTTCTCTACATGTATGTGATGCAGCAGTGGGGTTTATGGTGTTGGCTAAGTGTATGCCAGTAGTTTCTTCATAAACACCTTTTCCCAAAGGTTTGTGATTTGGCCAAGTGTAGATTTGGAAAAGAGGGATCAGAAGTAGAAGCTGTCTGTGCCTTTTGCCCTGGTGCTGGGTGCTCTGAAATTGCAGATGTAAAGCAAAGCAAAATAAGTACTTTAAATTTTGGAAACCTGTAAAAACAACAAATATTTTTATTTCTGCTTCCATTTCTAAGGTGTTTCAATGTCGGATAGTGCCACAGAAAGGCCCTGCACTGATTGTTCATCTCTGTTGCCCTGGAGTCAATTAGGTAGGTCCAAATTGACATAAAGTGTGAGGGTCTCCTATTGACACATGCTGTATATGTATCACATGTAACCATGTTGCAACTCATAGTATTTCAGAATGCTATTGGATGATTCATAATACATGTAAAAGAGTCTATCACAGTTTCCAAATGAAACTAATTAATCAGTTTGCATGAGGCACTTGTAAAAAGCTATCTGTAGTACAAGTCAAATCTAGTGGATTCTACAGTTCAAATCAGTGGCATCTTTTTTTCCCTTCCAGGATCAGGCCTGGCTAAAGTCAAAGAAATTTATCTTGTTGATGCAAAACTATGCAAATCATTAAAACTGCAAATCAGCAAAACTATGGATGATGCTCGCTGTGATCAGCAAATGCTATTGTCCATCATTTTGCAGAGCACTACTCTTAGTCTAAAATTATAATTATTTTCTCCTGGTATTCTAACCTTGAAAAGAGGGTGCATCCATCAGAACTACTTCTAAAGAACTATCTTGAGAACTTCAGCAGAGCACAGTGTTGCATACTCAAGGATCCTTACATTAGAAGTTTCATAAATATTGTATATTGTGTGTGAATGTGCTGAATTTGTTCCCTTGCAGAGTGAGATTCATCATGCCAACGATCAGTGGTTTAAGGCTCTGAAAAAATAAATGGAAGTGTTAGGAATGTAACACGCTCTAAAGATCTGCTGTTGTCTTACATGGTACAGAGCTGTAGAAAATAAGGGGTCGTAGGCTGTGCAGCTGTAATAAGAATGATTTCAGGAGAGCTGCTTCTTTAGAGGAAAATATAGACATTCATGTTTATTTATTCATCATATTTTTTTTCTTTAACCCTATGCTTTTTAAAAAAACAAGCCCCCAAAAAGACCTTCCATCAACTGCCTGGACTGCAGAGGTAGGCCTCTTTTTTGAAGCATGAGTGCATTACAGGTAAGTTGTTATTAGCAGTAACTAAAGTACTGAACTTTGCCGGACTTATGTTGGCTCTGTGTACAGAGTACTTTCAGACTCATTTATTTTCCTCTATGATTTCCTTGGCTAATCATGATAATTTTTATATGTATGTTGGTACTTGTTTTACTTGCTTTCAAGGCATGAATAAGTAATATTACCCAGACGTCTCTCATTTGAGAAGGAAAGAAATGAAACAGCAAAATCAATTATTTAGACTATAAAACAAAACAGATTTTAGACTGGTATCACATAGTATAATTGCAAAGGTGCTTATATTATCATTGTTATTTTTATCATTATCATCATTATTTGCCATTAATGTTTAAATATAAAGCAGTTTAGTAGATACACGTGCACAAAGTTTAGCCAGTTAACTTTGCAGATAAGTCTTAATGTGTAAGCTAGAAAAGCCAGGAGATTTACAGTTAAGGCTTTGAACATGGTATTGTATTTAGTCATTGCAGGTGCTGAATAACTGAGCATAGGTTCCTTGGCACCTGTACTAAAGCAGTAGATGCAGTGAGTTCATCTCTGAATAGTCTGTCCTTCTCCAGCTATAAACTGCATCATAGCATTGCCTTACTTGCAGTTCTTTGCTTCTTTTAACAGAGGAACATACTTCATGACAAATGCTACAATAATGTTTATTATTTCTGGAAAATGGCTTTATTTATTTCCATGTTCCACCTCAAGCCATCTCACACACTGATACTTTCATATCACCTCCATGAAGGCTTTAGGACAGATGTTTGCTCTGTTCATGTCACTGAGAATTTTTACCACTGAGTCCAGTAGGAGCAGACAACCTTTCAATAAGGAAGTATTGTCTGTTGTTCAGTAGCTACATCCTGCCTCTTAACAGGGGCTAACCTGGATTTCCTTTTTCTGGGGAAAAAACCATCATTTTGAAAAGACTAAAGAAACACAGGTAAACCCAAAACATGTAGTACTTTTGGTGTTTTTTTACTTAAAATCATTCGTGCTGAACTCACAGGGGATTCTGGAATTTAGTAAGTGCAATCCTGGGTTCTTAGCAATACAATGCCATGTTCTTCTTCACTGTAACATGTTAGACCAAGTCCTCATGAAGTATTTTAGGAACCAGACTGAAGAATTCTGGGGAAAAAAAAAGCTACAAATATGAGGTGCTAAATCAAAGAAGCAACTGTGGGATCCCTTTCTCAAATTGAGATGAGTTAAAGGGTGTGAAGGCTTCTAGATTTATTTTTCATCTGTGTCTAGTTATTTGTTTTCTCCTGCATGGCATCAGCTGCCTGGTATTCTTTCCAGGAAAACATCTTTCTGTCTTCTTGACGGAATACAACATTTGACTTGGAAGCTGCATTTTTCTTTTAATGCATAAATGATTGATATGAAGGCACCCTCGTGACACCATATGCTCTTCATGTGATATTT